AACACAGTTAATTGAAACAGCCTGAGAAACCATCAAGACATCTGCAGCCCCCCCCCCCCCCCCCCCCGCGTCTGCCTGATTGAAGAGAAACACTTTGATGAGGACATGTTGACAAAATAACTCACGAATGCGGAGCAGGTTTGCCAGAGCTACATGATGGCGGAGAGAGGCCTGCAGATGTCTTGATGGTTTCTCAGGCTGTTTCAATTAACTGTGTTCAATTGAATCCAGGAACTCAATTAAAAAAGGTTATTTCATAAACAAAGGGTTTTACGCCAGAGGCCTGTGGCTGTTTGATTGTGACTGTCAGTTGTTGACAAGCTTAGCAGAAATGAAAAGGCGATTTTAGCTTGACAATGACAACGGAAAATAATGCACGAGACAAAAAGGTTGCCAATCAGGGCTGACACATTATCCAAGCAGAAGACCCATTACCTTCAAGGTTTTGTTGTCAAGTGTCATTTCTGGGGGTTGTGTAAGTTCCTGCTTGAATTTGTTGTCTCCTCTTTAGCGCCAACAGAACAAAAGCACGGATTCACTTCTCTTTACATTCTAGCTGTTGAAGAGTGGAGAGGCTGTGCTCTAAATCGTGCCAATTGCACAAGTAAAACATTTGTTTTTGCAGTTGCCTTTTTCAGTCTGGCATTGTCAGTGTAGCTCTTAACTGCCACCTCTCACTTCCATCCCACAGTGTGACCTTGTTTTTTCTCTGCAACACTGATGCTGGAAATTACCACTTGGGTTGCAGATTCAATAGCACTGACTAAAAGTACAAACAGGATATTATATGGTGCGAGGACGTACGTGTAGAAACATGTAGTGGTGCAAAACAACACAGTTTGCTCCAGTTTCATACTACCTACATATGCATATCTGTATATATATTCATCTCTGACGCATGATAGTGGAGCAGAAAAGCATCACTGTGAAACACCACAGGGAACTGTATCTGTGGTCTGCTGATGTTAACTGATCTATGTTACACTTTTAACCACAGAGACTGACACATGCATCAAAAAGAGAGGAAATAATATAAATGAGTCTCACACGGACCCGCTCGTTTCAAGAAGACAGATGTACTGGTGCAGCTGCCTTAAGTCAATTCAATAAGGTTTATGTTTAATATGGTAAGTTTTGTTTTTCATTGGATCATTGTGACCAGCAACACAAAGCTGATGTGTTTCTTTTTGTCTTCCATTTATTTGACTGTATACTTTAGTATGTTTTTCATTGCTGTTTCTGTGAACTGTGAAGGGAAGAAAGTTGTTGTACTGACACTTTAGAAGAGAGCGCCGTCACTTTCAGAGAGTTTTTTCCGAGAACGTGATGTATGCTGAATAGAAAAATGTGCTTGTGCTTAACCGTGGGATTTGTTAATAAAAGTTGCAAAACGAAGACGGATGTGATTTTGGACATTTTAAGGGTGCAACATTTACAATTAGGGGATAGCGTCACATTTTTTCAAGACTCACATGCTCATTAGACATTTAAACCATTTTTGCTTGCTCTAATCATTCATCTTGTCCATACTGGCATACATGAAGGGATCATTTCTTAACAGGATTCCAGTGTTGAGTGAATCTGAAGACTACACGTTTGAAAATGAAACATTCTAGGGGTGTAGGGCAGGAAGTGAGTTTACCAGATCTCTTTAGCTCCTTAATCTCTGCTTGAGGCTAGCAGCTACTAGCAAAACACACTTGCATATCTAATAGAACCAGAGTTTGACAAATCGGCCGTCGCCATATTGGCTTTTTTTGCAGTAAGACGTGACAAGAGAGGGTGGAGCTGAGTACAACCGAATGCAGCATCAGACATTTATAGGCGACCGAAAAGGTTACAATTGATATTTGTGAACTGAAAAAACACTGTGAAAGGGTTAAAGTTCAAAGACGAAAACATGGACAAGTCCCAGAACAGACAACGCTGTATTAGTGACCTGTCAATCCCAAGATAGCTACACCCTTAAAGCTGACCTGCTTGATCGTCGATTTACTCTAAATGGGACAGTGACTTACTAAATGAACACCACGCTGTATTCAGGAGGACTTGAAACTCGTGATTGAGACCATAAACTAATGTTTACAATGTTTACTGAGGTAATAAGCAAGTGAGAGGTAGGGTTATTTTCTCATAGTCTTCTATACAATCAGACTTCTTTTTGCAACCAGAGGAGTCGCCTCTTGCTGAAAGAATGTTGAAGTTTAAGGCACTTTCGCACTGGCGCCACTTTTCAGAGGAGGTTTCAAAGCTGCATTGGTTTTGATCTTTTTTTTCCACCGTGAGACCGACAATGTTAATGGAGTGTAATACTAAATCAGTAGAGTATACTCTTTTGGAAGAACGATTACAGCAAGCTTTTTTAAATGTAGGCCTATATATGGGCATGCGAGTATTGTTTTAAGACTTGAAAAATATGAGAACCTATCCCTTAATAAAGTAAGATCCTGTAAACTGTATTGAATAACCATTAACCGTTTGTTTATGTGCTTCTTTGGAGTTGCATCTCAGTATTTACTCCTTCTCCTGACTAACACATTTTTTTTCCCTCTGGCACATGGACAGATTTCTCACAGGCAAGTATGTACAACGCCACCACCAACTTTACCATCACTAGTTGCAAAGTGGATACCCTTCAGGGTTTGGCTTACTGTCCAGTGTTTCTTCTGGGTTTCCTTGTCAATGCTGCTGCTCTGCGTGCCTTCATTGCCAAACGGGCCTCCTGGACAGACACCCACATCTACATGCTCAACCTGGTTGTAGCTGATACTGCCCTCATCCTCTTCCTTCCCTTCAGGATCTATGATGCCTTCTTCTGCCTGCCCAGGACTCGCTTGTGTACTTTCCTTATGTTCTTACATTTCATCAACATGTATGCCAGCATGCTGACAACCACGGCCATCAGTGTCCAGCGCTACCTGGTTATAACGTTCCCACTGCAGGCCAGATCATGGAGGAAGAAGAAAGAGATAGCTTTTGCTGTGTGTTTGCTCTTTTGGGGACTTCTTGGGACAGCAGGCATTATATTCCGAAAGGACAATTACCCGGAAAAACTCTGGACCTGTTATGAAAGATGTAAAAATCTGCCACTTAATCCAAAGTTGATGGTCATTCTGGTGTTTCTAGGCTACATCGTTCCACTGTTTATTGTTGTTTTCTGTTCCAGTTGCATCATCCGTATTCTGTTAAAGGTGAATGACAGGCCAGAGGAAAAGCAAAGCACCATTGGCATAGTCACAGCCAACATGATCGTTTTCATTGTCTGCTACACACCGATCCATGTTGGCTTTGTTGTCAACTACTACAACAAATTACCAGAAAACTGGAATATTGAATACTTACCTGCACATGTGTATTTACTTGTGTCTGAATGGATTGCTTCCACAAACTGCTGTTTTGATTCCATCAGCTATTATTTTCTATTGAAACGCTTTTATTCATAAGTACGTGGGAGTACAAGCATTTTAGACTGCACAATGAAGGCCTAAAATAAATGATATTTTTGAAGGGTTACTTCACTGATCTCACACATCAAGTTCAGTTTACTGGTCATGAAAAGTAATATTTAGCCTGTATAATGTACCTCTGGAGGGAAAATATCTACAACTAGTATCTTGGCTTAACATTTTTGACATAAACATGCATTACAAATTGGAGGTGTGGGGTTTGAAAGAAGTGGACATTAAGGGGTTTACATGTTGCATGACGCATGGAAATGCCAGTCGTGCCGGGGGGGGGGGAGTCGCGCTTGGTTTTTGACAATTCTTTAATTTTATTATGTCTCTTGAGAGCCCTAAAACCTTTTGAATGCGCATTACCAAAACGTGTGAGTACCCCTTTAAATTTGCAAAACTGTCTGACTAATTGCAACGTCTATTATTTGACCATTTTTCATGAAATGTGTAAGCTATGGAAAAATAAACTTCTCAGCTTGTTCCATGTGATTCCTCGGTTCGTAATTGGTTCATTGCACAGTTGATTTGTTAATATAGCTATTCACTTCTGAATCTGATTTCGCCTTAATCATCAAGTTGCTGCATGAACTCTTCAGCTGCTGCAGGGATGGATGATCATGGGGTTCATGTGTGTGATTTTGGGATATAAATACCTGTTCCATAACTCACTCAACCTTCTGCTGACCTTACGTCTGATGTTCAAAGCAGAGAACAAGGGCTATTCTCATCTCTGCACCAGACCTCTCAACAAAACTAGTCGGTGTCTTGCTCTGCAGCACAGCCAAACGATAGCCAGTCAATGCACAGGCAACTCCCATGGGAGTTCAAGCCTCTCACCCTCTCACAGAGGCCAGCTGAATGAAGGCCAGTGTCCAGCTCCCTCTTGTGGCGAGGAAAGGAAATGCAAGAAAGATTTCCCCCTGCCTCTCTGCTCTAGAGCTTTGGCTGTTGAGAAGTTTGAAACAGTCAATCTAATGACATATGTCTAATTTATAGAAAATAAACGACACTAATGACGTACGCATTACTTGAGAGTGTGAAGTAATAGTTTTGCATTTATAAATGTGTGTATATGCGCGAATACGCATGTAATGATATGCATTTATTTCTATGAGTGCATTCGGAACCACACTCGACAACATTAGCAGTCAATTATATAATGCCATTTAATAGCAGTACTCCAAAGATTGATGGTTATTATAACAGCAGTATCTTAGCAACTGCAAAAAACTCAGGCAGGCATCAGTCAAATGAGAAGGCTCAGTTCTGGCTGAGGTCAGGCCTGCGACTCTATTCTAATAACAGGAAAAAAGCTGAACTCAGCAGTCAGCCAGAGTCACGTAAATACTGTACATACATCTTATTCACAGCATTGTCACTGAAAAAAACCCAAAAGAACTAAACAAAACCTCACACTTCAAACACAGTCCTGTCTCAAAGGAGCATGAAGGCCCCCCCCCCCCCCCAAAAAAAACCAAACTGAAACACTATACCTACAGATGATTATTTACACTATTCACAAATGATACAGAACAGCTCCTTTTCAAAATGCAAAACGTTCTTGTGCTTTTCCTCAGTACTGCACAGTATAATGACTATAAACAGAAAAAGGATGACTACATTCATTCACTCACAATGCTGACAGGTATTATCAAGATCCTCCAGTATGGCAGTTGACGGACAGACAATCACTAGACTACAGAACACGACCAAAAAAGCCCAGGATCAGGACAGATATGACACAAAATGAGATACACAGAGTTCCCTCACAGCATTTTTCAGTCCATTTGAAGGTTTGCTTACGAACTACTTATAAATCGTTATTATTACATATCGGAATAAACATGGCTCATGTCATGGCATCAGTGAAGGCTTTACAGTATAATCATTAAGGGCATGACAAAAGAGTCTGCATTCATTCTTACATATTTACAGGACACAAGTGTGACATGAAAGCAGTTCATAAACAGACCCTCAAACACTGCTGGCAGCGCTCCGTGTCAGTAGCATCCAGACGGACAGGGGGAGCTGAAACAAATGATTTCAACAGTACAAGCCGACATCTAAATAAAAAAATAACATTCAGCGTGTAAAGGTCAAAGGCATACGTATCACAAGTATTCTGCAACAAGTGAGTTCTCCGGGACCACAGTACACGAGGTGCACTGCTGACTGAAATGGTCTTCATGGCACTTTAAAACAAGTTTCTCTCAGTTTTATTTTTTTGCTTTAGTAATCAGGCATCAGTAAATCATTCATGTTTTTTGCGCGCATATGTAAAAAAAAAAAAAATAGTATCTTTGTGATTTCAATCTTGAAGCGGGTTGATATGAAACTTTCAGATTTTCAGACATATATAGCTACAATGACATGATACATGTTTATTTCTGTTTGCAAGCTAGTGCCTGATATCATTTTTTTTGTTTGGAGTTACTGTTTATCTTACATAATCATATTAATCTAAATCAAAGTTTACTATGTACAGATAAACCATATATTGCTGCTCACCAGTACAAACCAGCATTAATTTGCTCATGACTGACTGGGAGTGAGCGTGAAAATCAACAAATTCTCACTATTTTCCACAGCCGTTTTCATCAGGTCTTAATTGCTTTTTGCTTCTTTATCTCGTCTCTTTTTTTATGACTTCCATCTCCTCGCTAACACACTCACACCATGTCCTGTTGATCTAAACAGCGACCATTTTGCGGCACAGGACACTTTGACGGGCTGAATATATTGTCCCACTTGCCTGCTGGGAACATTTCCATTACCCCTATTGGCTTTGAGTGAGGCCAAAGGTTTCAATCATCACTGCTGTAACCGTCACTTTGTTCTGTATCACGTCTGTGGGACCTTGACCCCCTGTGGGCTCAGGGGAAAATTTTGCCCAATAAAACCGGACTACGTTCTCTAATTCAGCGTAAATGAATGTGTGTGTGTGTGTGTTTGTGGATAAAAAACCTAAGGTGACAGTGAAGGACAACGTGTTCATATATTACAGTGGATTTACTTTAAATCCTATAAAACACTCTCTTTCTTCCTTTCTGTCCAGCTCCAACACAAGTCAGTCCAGTGATGGTGCGCAATCTCTCCAGACGTCCTCGTGAAATAATTGGTAATTCAAGAGTACATGGCGCGTAAGGAGGCAAACGAATAGAGCGATGGACGGCTGAGATGCCGTCATTACAGAGAGCATGCGGTTGGCAGAAATAGTGCTGACGTTCCAGTCCTGTACTCTGCTCTCCAAAGACGTGAGTTATGGTCCCATATCCCTGTGAGACAGGTTAGAGGCATTTGGCACACACAAGTCGTGCTTCTCGTACACATTGAATACTACATACCCTCCGTCACCTGTGCAAAAACATGTATGCATCTACTGTATGCGTGACGCAAAGAGGACAGAGAGAGAAATAGAAACAGAGAGAAGGATTTTGCGCTTCCTCATCCTCCATTAAATTTGTGTTCACAGTCAGTTTTTTGTCTGATGAGTCACCTGCAGCTTCTACGACGCTAAGATTTCGCAGTTTCCCTTCAAGTACCTAGTTGGCAATCGGACCAACAGGTAACATAGCGGAGAACAGATGGGTGGCAGTCTTGTTAATGTTATCCAAGAGGGAAAAGGAATCCCACTTCTACAGCAGTATATTACTGGCTCTGCAGTCTCAGTTAATCTGCACAGACAAGGTAGCCTCTAAGTGCCATGTCCAACTTTGTCTCCGTTGTCTCTGCCCCCCTTTCTGCTGTTATCCTTTCTTTCCTTTCTTTATTTCTTTCTCCTACATGCTCTCTCCTCTCTCCTCCCTCATCCTGCTGCCGCTGAGTAGCCGGAGAGAGAGGCAACTCTGCAATGCAGACGCAGCAACAACCTCGATCCATCTGACCAATTAGTGTGAGCTAGGGTATGAGTGGCAGACCCAGCAGCCAGTCATAAAGAGAGGCTCATCATGGGGCGGAAGGGGGGCCTGAAAGACTGACAGAGGAGCTCAGAGGGGTTGAATGACAAATAAAGATGTAGGTAGAAGAGAAGTGAAGGGAGAGGGGAATGGACAGAATGAGGAGGGAAGAGAGAAGTGAGATCTATGTAAATAAAAAAAGAGAGCTCCAGACATGGAAACACTCCCATCCACTTCATTTCCTCAAGAGTCACTGGCCGGTCTGAGTCCTATCACTGCAGTTCTTCTTACTCATCAGCTGGCTGAGGTCCACCAGCTCGCCCAGTTCCCCTCGCTCCAGGGCTCCTCTCAGCAGAGCCCTGGTCAGCCCGGGGGGGTGTTGCTGGGACACGTAGGCCTGGCCACTGGGAGCAGGCATGGAGGGTGGAGGCAGGGGGACGGGGACCATGCCGTGGCTGCTTAGGATGTATCCTTCCGGGGCTGGCCAGCGCAAAGGCAGCGGCTCGCCATACTCCATTGGGGCACTGGGTGCTGAAACCACCCTCCGACGCTCGGGCGAGTCCTGGGGGGTCATAGGGTATACATATTCTCCTGCAGACTTCCGGAGAGGAGCTCTGGGCGTCCCCTTCACTCCTTTTTCTTGCTTGCTCAGGCAGACGTAGTGCTGGCGTGGCGCGTCAATTCCACGGCTCTCACCGATGTGTCTCCCGCCTCCCCCCTGCTGGAAGAGTCTGGTGGTCAGGTAGACGGAGGAGGGGATGCGGCAGGGAGAGCCCAGACCAACAGAGCCTCCCCCCAGGTACGTCTGGCTAGTGTCCCACCCTCCAGAGTTGGAGTCAGACAGTCGTAGGCCTCTGCGTTTCTGCTGGGGCGTGTGCTCCGGGGTTGGCAGGAAACCCGTGTCGAGCTCTCCCGACTTCACCCAGCCGTTGGGCATGACAAACAGGGTTTCCCCGCCCTGAGTGCAGGGGCGCTCCCCGCCTCCCTGCCGCGTCACACTGAGCACGGAGCCTCCCATCCCACCACCGTTAGTCAGCAGGCCTCTTTCACGCCGCTGGATAGAGGACTGGGAGGTGTTGCCGTGGCGGCGGTTGGCAGGTTTGTGGGCCATGATCCAGCAGACGGCGAGGCCGGAGAGCGCCGCCCCGATGGTGAACGCGGACACAGCAGACGCCACAAGCAGGTTGAGGGAGACCAAGCTCTCCGGTTCAATCAGCAAACTCTGCTGCAGAATTCCTAAAGATTAAGACACACAATTACAAAGATGACATTTAGTGGAACAGATGGACATTCTCTCTCAATGTCTGTCTAGAGGGCGCAGTTGTAAATGATCATTACTACAAGCGCTGCTACTTCTACTGAGTGTTTCTCCCCTCACAAGATATAATAATTATTAAATCAATAACCAAAATAGCACTCATAATTGGTGAACATGGGGTTCAGCATTATACAATGATTGTCTTTTAAAAGGAGCTTCACTCCAGTCTGGTCTTGGGGCTTCACAGGCTCCAGGTTCAGAGAGGCCTGCACTTGTGATCAGCACAGCTCAGACCACAGCAGCTGACGCTCCCTTTCTCCTCTCTCCTCTCCACCTCACACTTTCCATCCTGCAGCCCGGTCAGTGAGTCTCTCCTCGCAGCACACTATTACCTCAGTGTTTCCACCCAGCTCTAATCACTCCCATCTGCAGACACAGCAGCACATGCCTGTCCCCGGCTCGGCCTCTGCTTGCACATTCACCACTCGGATTAGAAGCTGTCAGGTCTGCAGCCGGGCATCACTGACTTCTACTATCGGTTTCTAAGTGCAGGTAAAAAATGTGAAGCCCATTTGTTTGAAACAAATGAGTTTGATGAAGGCTTGGAATGTGCTATGTGCTTTTTTTTTCTGTTTGGAAATTCGGAACTACCTACGTGGATTTCACGGCTTTGAAACTGGCCTAAAGAGGAAAGGAGAGGAAATTACTTTTATTTTTTTTCTTTACTGTTTCAGAGCAAGGTTCAAAGAGGCCCTCTCTGGCACTGCTGCAGTGACGTTTGAGCCTCGCAACAGAGGTGACATCAGTATTTCATGCTAAGCTTTTTCCAGCTCACAGTTTACACTCGGCCAATCCTCTCTCAGATGCTCAGCTTTGAGAGAACAAAGCCTGGTGACCAGGAGGATGTCGCACCTCCCGTCCCGCAGTCTATAGTGGTATCGTCCACCAGCAGTTACACCTCCCACATCATCCCTAATTAAACTGTCTCACACTGGGAGCGTTTTGACCTGTAGGCAGTGAGGTTGAAACCAAAATCCCAGTTCGACTCCCACCTGAAAAAAGACACCAAAACACCCAGTTGCTAATGTAATGGTTGAGTGGATCTTGCTGAGCTGGGGGGGAGGAAATCCCATTATACCTATAATTAAATTAAAATGTGCTCAATTACAGAAATCGTCAAAAATATTCTCTCTCATGGAAGTACAGTATCAGAACAAAATGGTCAATGACAAGCAGACAGGTGTAATGAGAGATTTAGCCACTAGGCGGCGTCTGCCCTCAATCCGCTGTACACAGCCTGAAACATAAATGTCATAGTGCTGCAACCCACCATCACAGTCTCCTAGATGGGAGGTGGCATTTCCATATTCCACATCTTGTTGAAAAGGCAGCCTGCAACACACGGAGATCAGCACATCAGAGACTTCAATATTTCTCTTCATATACAAACACCATCCAGTAGGAAACGTGTTATTATAGTGCCCTTAATTCAATATATACAGTTACGGTATGTAATCGCTCATGGACGAATGTTTACAGTTGAACAGAACAGAAACAAATGTTATTGAAAATAACTCATGAATGTGAACCGTTTACTTTTTGTATGCACATGTTCACATTAGCATGCAAACTGCACATTAGTGGGGACATTTGTTGATAGTTATCAATGAAATGGATATGGTACATATTGATGTATCATCCAGTGTAATAGGATACACTATTGATTTTCTCCTTATGCTTGCCATCATCCCTCAGGGAGGTCAGAGGTCAGGGTCAGCCACAGCGAGTACGGATTGCGATACTGCTTACAATGTTTGACTTGACACCAATAATCCTTCATATTGTTTATGGGAACATGAATTTATAAAGGATAATGATAGTAATCATTTTTTTAACTATTATTTTTTGATAAAGGTTGGTATTTAATATTGTAAATCATGCTGAATCAAATACTATACACCCACACATCTTTACTGGTTTAGTTAGCTTACAAACTGAAATAAATACTAAATTGAAATAATATAAATTTTTACATATTCATAACATTTATTTTAATCTACTACAACATTTTACCATTAGTGTGCAGCTTTATTTAAACTTCCTGACTGAAATGGGATGTGTGCTGTAATTCAGTGGTTTCTTGCGTAACCAGCAAATAGACCAGAATTCCATTAAATTACTATGACAGCCTCAAATAAATGAATAAGTAAAAAAAGAAACCTTTTGCACTTAACTGATTTATATTGTTTAATATGTCTGGACCTTATACATATACCACTTTAGTGTGTTCTTATACGTAACTATAGAATATTGAGTGTGTTTGTTTGGCCATTTCTTTACTTATTTATTGATAATTTTCTTCTTTGTTGTATTTTCCCCCAGTTGAGTAACAAGTGTCGTTGTCCACCATTTGTCTGTTATTGCTGTTTCTTTTGTTTTCTTACATGTGTAACTATGTCCATAATTCTCCTTGAGGGAACATTGTGGAATAGACAAAAATCGAAAGCCTTGCTTGCAGTCACGGGAGCTTGAACACTGTCATCGTTTAGCATTTATTCTCCTTATATTAGGTGATAAAGTCCACATTCAACACTGGCTTACTTGCCAGACCTTTTCATGAACAAAATACAGGAATGTTGTGACTTTGCCAATAAAATTCTCCACATATAATAACTTGTCCTGAGTCTGCAGGCAGCAGAGGAAAGAAACTGTTCACAGGCTGGTGTGTGTACGTGTGTGTGTATGTGTGTGTGTGAGAGAGAGTGTGTGTATGTTGTTCTCACCGTGTGCCTGGTCTCAGGAAGGAGCAGGTGCTGCCTCTGGTCCAGCCACAGTATGGGTCCCTGGAGGCTAAACAACTCCTACACACCAATGGAAATACAAAGTTTAGAAAGACTGAGTACTGACCTGATTTTCAAAGTGGCCATTTTTAGCATTCTTAGCAGGAAACTCTCCCTGGGAAATTTAGAGAAAATCAAACCTGGGAACAAGTTTAACAGCTATGAATTTGCAGTGAGTTAGCTTGCTTATTGTCTATCTGGCTAACAGGTAACTAGTTAGGTATAGTGGGCCATTGAAATCCTAAAATGTAAAAAACTATAAGTCCCTATGGATGGGTATCATGATAGTTATTTGTTATTTTGTTATTTGTCTTCAAATGTTATATGTGGATCACTGGTCAAATGATAAATCCTCATCTGGTATTCATCACTGCAGTCACACGTACTGTATCATGTTTCTACATGTTCATAGTTTCCTGTATTCAGCTGTGATGTATGACCGCTGTGGGAATCAGGTTCACAGTGTGGGGTTCTACTTCAAAAGATCTTCCCCATATGTGCAGTAACAAAAAAAATCCTTCTTGGTAATAATATTACATCATCTATTTTATTACAAACTAACATCAAGACGATGTTGAAGCCTCTCGTGTCAAGTTAAGTATTATATCCCAGGGATAAAAATTCTCCCAAAATAAACAAGTTAGCTGTAGTTTGACAAACACACATACAATCTATCCCTTGCTGATTGAAACATCAGAAGAACTGCATTACATTTTTTATGGACAACTGTACTATTAAGGAGAGAGAGAGCTCAGTGACCAAACCAAAGTTGGCCACTAAGTCTTACCTTGGCTAACGGCCATGGCTACATTTAAAGTAACCGAATTATCATACAAAGAAACATTGAGGAGAAGAAGAATACTCTCCGAGGCAAAACCAGGTGACAGTGTGTCACTTACTTCATGCAACGCGAGTGCAGGTGGCAGCGAGAGGTGGGCACTCGGACCAGACAGGTGGGGAAGGCCAGCAGCAGAGAGTGACTGGTCCGGTCCAACGACAGAGACAAGAGCTGACGAGCCTGAGGAGAGTCCTCACCACACCTGCAGACAGCAAGACACAGATGTGTGAAGGCTGGAAACAGAGGTTAAGGAGCCAGCAGACGGAGGACAATGTACACCCTTTGGCCTCAAATCAAGTTGTGACAGGGTCAAAGGCCTCATCTGTTGGTAAGTCAGACAGACTCATGACCTAACCCTTAAAGGGTCACAACATCAGCACTGTTTTATCTCGGCCTGCTCAGCTATAGCACAGAGCCAGAGCTGCGTGGTATGGAGAAAGAAACTCTCTTTTGTGAAAGCTGACAGTGGATGAAGCCAAAGTCCTTCACACTAAATCTATGTTATGTTTTTCTGCTGCTACGAAAGATTGGAAAACATTAAAACAGGAATAGTTTGTATATATTATGATACATTTAACAGAGCTGAAACATTTCAATAAGTCAGTTGACAAGAAACTATTTAAATGACTACTCAAGCTTAAACTCCACATATTCTCTGTTCTACCCTGTAGTGCACGCTCTATGCTTTTCTTTGTATCTTTTGGCTTTGGACTGTTTGAAAAACACAATTTGAATAATAACCATGGACATAATAATGTATGACATTTTGTAGTATTTTTTGACATTTGTTATTATTAATTTCTATTAAATTAATAATAAATAAAAAAAAAACTTTCCATGGCCATCAGGGGGCGACTCCTCTGGTTGTATAGAAGTCTATCAGAAAATTACCCTACTTCTCACTTGATTTATTACCTAAGTAAACACTTTAAACATGAGTTTATGGTCTCAATCGCTACTTTCAAGTCTTCTTCAATCCCACATGACGTTCATTTAGTAAATGATGGTGCCATTTACAATAAAGCAGGTATGCTTTAGGCCGTGACTACCTTGTGACTGACAGGTCGCTACAACGGCGTTGTCCGGTCTGTGAGTCATCAGTGTTTTTGTCTTAGAACTGTAACCCTTTCACAGTGTATTTTCAGTTCATGAAAAATAATTTAGTCTAACTCTTTTACTATATATGTGAATACAACTGTAACAGATACGGTCAAATAAATAACTGAGTTTTATTCTTAGCTGCACTTCAAAAATGTTAAAGTGAAATTTTCAAAATAAGTGTAATTGCAGACAGTTGTCGTGTGAACTGTTGCTGCTGCTCTCAAGTTCTCAAGTAGAAGCAGGCAGCATGAGACCGTATCTACCTGCAACAACGTTTCAATAACTTAATGAAGATCAAGGACAAAATGTCCTGACTCCTACTCACTTCTCTGGGTTGTATGCTTCCACCTCCTCCAGAAACACACTGCCGTGGGAGACAGAATCTCCGCTGGAAATCATTAGAAACTTCAGGATGGTTCCTCGGGTAGAGCCCAGGAACAAGACGGTATGGTTCTTATGGGGACCGGCTTCAGTGTCCGCCACCATGGATGTCAGCTGGTACCTAAACACATCAATAGTGAAACCAAGTTCAATCAATAAAATGAAGTTCTGAGTCAGTATGCGTACCGTCCCATGGTCTTGACCACCCAAGGTCTGTGGCCCAGGAGTGGAACGGTCTCGTCCATTAGTGGGTGGGTCTTCACAAAGTTCAGCACTTCATCCGGCAGTGTGGTGGAGGAGCTGAATCTGGATCCCTGCACTGCACATCCTCCTGGTCTGCAGACAGAAAGAGACAGAAAAGTGAGAGTTGAGGAATAGACAGATAGGAAGAGGAGAGAGAGAGCAATAGAAGTCCAGAGAGAGCAAGAAGAAAAGAGCCAGAGGGGTTCTTTTTGCGGCTGCTCGAGGCTGTGTTAGAAGATTTGCTGAATAGTAGGGAAGTTGCTGTGTGATTGACAGTTGGAGCTTAAAGCAGGGGAGTAACTAGACTATATATGTAGACAGATGCTCAGTAAAGCAGCACTGCAGTATTTTGCCCAAGAACGGCTCACATGCACTTTGCATAACAATACCTCGGTTTAGGCACCGCTTCGTCCGGCACAGGCGTCCAAATAGACTCGGGGGATTTCTGCTCTTTAAACCGGCCCTCAAAGACGTGAGCGAGCTGCTGCATGTCAAACACACACACCGCAGAGCCGGGGATGCTACCGACGGAAAGCAAAAATAAGACAAGTGATGAGAAGAATAGCGTTTGTGCTTGTTTGTGTGTGCACATTGTTTCCCTCTCTTTACCTGTTTGGTGGCGTGGAGAAGAGACCCAGGATGACGTCTCGCCCCTGCATGCGGATGATGTTGCTTGTGGCGTGCAAGAGGTTGAAGTAAAAGTGCGAATCTCCCGGCACGGAACAGTTGAGCCGCGCCTTCAGAAATGTGGTCCACTGTTTCTCGAGGACCCGCTGAGAGCCACCCAGGTCTGCTTTGCACACACGGGCTACACGAGACACCATCACCTGGAATAAATCAAGCACAGTCTAGTGAAATAGACGGACAGTGGAAAACAATAAGAAGAAGAAAGGAAGAGAAAGAAAGCACCTTCTCTAGATGATGAAACTCCATGGCCATCTCTCTGAAGAAGAAATAAATATGAGGCCCCCACTCCATGGAGCTCACAAAGAAGGGCTCTGAAAAATAATGAGAAAAACACAGTTAGACAAACACACACATATATACACACACGTATACACACATACCCACACAGAACAGTAGCGACGCAGTGCCGGGGGCCAAAGGTAATGCTCCACAGTCCGTGACATGGAGCTGTAATAACAATCACATCTACACGGGCCGTTGCTGTCCACGGGCCTCGCTCATCAAATATTCATGTCCTGTTTAATTCATCATCTTGGACAAGACGATACACATTATTTACCATTTATTCATCCAGCACTGTTCCAGCTTTGACCTACCCCAGCTTGTTTTTCTCTCCATGAAAAACAAACTCAACCGTTCAATCTACGGCTTGTTAAAACCGTGAATCTGTAGAGTCAAACTAACCTAAATACATCGCTCTGTCTGAGCGTGTTTCACTTAAAAAAAACCTATGTTTGGTTTCATTGAATGTAGCTTTTTATTTGGCTCCATGAAAAGACAGCCGAACCAATTTCAGTTTTTAGTAAACTATTGTAGATAATGGTGATGGTTTCTGAAATTTGTTTCTAGAATATCAATTGAAGGTGTCTGACACAGGAGAGTCATTTACGTAAATGTGACTGTTTCTAAAAGTACCTCTGAACCATTTGGAGTCGTGTTTGACTGTGCGGAGGGCGGGGCTGTTGCCGAGACTACGATAGATCACCGCGTCGATGGCCAGGAAGTCCGTCACAGTACCAGTAAAGAGACTTCCATCTGAGAGCGAGAGAGAAGCACAGAGGGAGGAAAGGAGGAGATTAAGAAGAAGAAGAAAGGGAACATACAGATTGGAGAGATAGCACAAGGTCAGGAAGATTAAAACCAAACAAGCAATGCAGCGAGAGGTCTGACTATAAATCATTGGTAAAGGTAAACACAAGGGCACAGACGTTTCAGTGTCTGGAGCTTAAAACTGAGTCTGATGTCTGCCAGAAACCCTGAATTCTTCACACTTTAGTGTGCAAACTGAAGATAGTATACCTGCAAATAGAGCCACGTTGGCATGTCGTGGATCATATGGGCACCGTGCCATCCCACTGACAGGCTCTCCCACCATTTCTAGAGTGTCTTTCTGCAAAAAGAAAAAAAATATATGTCGAGATGAACAAACTGGCAAGCACACAGAGAGTGGCCAGCTGACAGATAGATGGTTACTCACAGTGTAGTTGGCACACAGCGGGTTGAAGGCGTTTGTTCCACATACAAACAGGCCACCATGCTGGCTGAGCAAAACCTTGATGAAATTACGGCACTCTCCCTACAGAGAGAAAAGCACAAAGGACACGATTAAAGAGGAGAAGAAAATCACAAGGTACGGGGCAACAGTTTTGAACCAAAGCTAAACTCAGAACTACCAGTCAGAGCAAGAAGGCTGCAACTGTGAAGTAGGAAAAGTGCAGTATAAAACTATCCTTAACACCCATAACCACACTCCATCTGGAGAAACAACAGGATAGAGACTTTGAAAGCTGTCTTCAAAGTGGAGGTTGCTGATTGAGCTGCTGCTACTGAATCTGAAACTTGGTGACACTGGTCAGCTCCTCGGTTCCTTTGTGATACGACAACAGTGTCTGATGAAAAAATAAGCGATGGAACTTGAATAAACCTGTTCATCAGTAGCTAAATTGGTATTTAATGATGCTAGCAAGTGTTACCAGCTTACAGTTGTGTGACAGAGCTATATTTTATTGGAGGATATTTGGTAGCTAACTACTGAGAGTGAGGCAGAAAGCAGTTTTGCATAAAAGCAGCCTCGCTCTGCATACCAGCGCTTATAAAATGCACTAATGACCACATTATCGTATCAATGCTGGTTATGCCTCCTGGAGTCTCCGCTGTATGAATTAAACAAAAGACATATAAAGTGTTAATCAGTGAGCATTACAGGTGCTAATTGGCAGATTTTGATATAGCTTTGAAAAGAGCCAGGCTAAACGTGAGCCGTTTTCCCCTGTTACCAGCCTGTGTGCTAAGCTAACCAGCCGCTGGCAGCAACACCTGTGCTTTTCCTGCTACAGCCTACAATCTCGGGACCCATAGCCTACCTATCGGTCTCATATGGGCCTCTGGGGCCAAGTGGCTTAATTTGGACATTGCTGGGGTTCCGTTGTAACCAGCGTATATCCGGGTCAAGACTTCACTTTTCAATAATTGCTCATTGTTTAAAGTCCGATTAGCAACTTGAGACAGTTTACAAGCTGTTTTTTAAAACATTAAAAAGCTAGATCATCGTCAGACGATAGCCGGTGGATTAAGAGATTTCATTTCGGCCTCTTTTTCTCTCCACACAGACTGTTTAACTGCATTAAATCAAAGCCTGCTCAAACGTGATTGGTCAAGACTTCAAATGGAAACCAGAACGCTTCAGTTACCAAAATCTTGTCCCGTTGCCTCTATAGAGATTATTCCCACTATGAAAAATGTCTACAAAAATCACTCTCAAAGTATCACAAAAGAACATTATTGACAGTATATTTTCAGGAGGAAAATTCCACATTTGAAATAACTGTTTTGCTAGCTCAGTCTCGTTTCAACTAAAATAACATCAACCAACAACAATTGGCCTCTCCAGTTCAAACACAGAGTAGTACTATACGTTTATGAGCATGTATAACTCAATGCCAAGAGCACTTTTTGGTTGGCATTTGGCAAACAATAAAAATAAAGTGCAAATATACCTGTTTCCATTTTTTAATAAGGTAAGCTGAACCAACCAGCTTCTGGTTCTTGCTACACCGTTACAGTACAGACCTGACCCAGACAGTGGTATCAATCTTCTCATCTATCTCTCGGCAAGAAAGCACATGAGTGAATTTTCCAAAACTATTCCCTTTACAAAGTTTGAGTAATGGTGAGTAATGGATGCATTTCAGTTCAGTTCCCAAGTATTGCTGCCATCGTTAATGTTAATAGTTCCACCTGTGCTTTCCGCACTATGGCAAACACATTTCTAAGTGTCTGCTGTGAAAAATGTCTATTTTTGGACTGTCATGACTTCATATGCACACTTACCTAATAGATGCTATAAGACCGAAAAGCATTATGTCTGTTCTATATGTCAGATGATTTACAGCTGCATCATTTACCCTGCGCCTTATAATTTGATCTCTTCATGTGAGTTAGTGGGCTTAAGCTTCAACCTTCTGTCTTTTGTCTTCTCCCTGTTATGCTCTCTCCATCTTGGGCAAGTCTTTCTCCTCTTGTCTTTAATCACAGCTTGTTTTTGCTCATACATATTTTCTTCTTTCATCTGTGTTCTATGAAGCAACAAATCTTTTCCTTTTGTTGTCTCTCTGGCTCTTTCTTGTACCCGGTGGCTGCCCTATCCTCCTTATGTGTTTCTTCCCCACTTTTCCTCCACCTACACACATCCCACCCCTTCCTCTTCCTCAACTGATTTCAATTACTGTTTCCTCCCCGAGGCTGTGTCACTCTCTCTGCTCAGTTTGCTTTATAATGCTTCCTCTTGCCTCTTTCTCTTTTTCCATGAGATTCGCCCAGATTGGATTTTGCGGATGGCAATGCTACATTTATACAATAAAGCTTATATTTTAGGTCACACCCTGTCAAGCGAGCTACCATCCCATCAAATCTTTCTCTTTTGTAGATTTGATCACATACCTTTAATATCTCAGAACATTGTCATCTATCGCTTCATATCCACACATAATTGCCCCACTTCCCCGCAGGCTATGGATGAGATATATGAAGAAGATTGGCAAAATGCAGGTGTGCAAGACAATGGCTTTCAAGCTTCGTGGATATCTTTCGGCCTGGGCAACGTTTCACTGAGCTAACGTGATTTTGTGTAAATACCGTATGCAGGTGCACCCGAAGGAAATAAGGTTTCTCTAACAGCTGTAGTGTCCGTCCATGCGTGTGATAGAATATATAGACGGTGTTGATGCATGTAAGAGTGGATCTCAGGGTGCTGTGTACAAGCACCGTACCTCATGTTTGCCCTTCATCCGGCACACTCGAATGTCATTCTTATTGGATTCCCATGTTCGTTTCTGCCAAAGGAGCAAACCACAGTCTGAATAACTTTGTTCCGTGTGTCTGTGTACATTATCAGTTGTTAGTGCGCGTTTGATTTTGCGTGTGTGAAAGAAAATGAGTCTTACCTTGCTGTAGAACATCTCATCACCTGACATGTTATCCAGCTCCACTCTGTACAAGTCATCTCTACAAAACACACAACAAATCAGTGCCAATTTAATACTACAGGTGTCTGATATATAATGTAAACAATGCTGAGGGAAGGGGTCAGCAATTAGATAGTTTTTTCAGCATTGTTTCGTGAGGGCCTTTTTAAACCAGTTTTCAACATGACTTATGTGTTTATTTCTTTAATTCATGTCAGAATCAAACATCTTGTTCTCTGATTTTATCTAACATCAGATGTAATTTCCCCCATTAGTACGTGAGGGCTAACAGAGTGACAGCAGTTCATATGTTAATATTCATTTGGCAGAAAATGAGTGTATGTGAATGTATGATCTGTGCCGCTCATAACAGTAGCGTGACTCGTTTATAGTTGAATGAAAGTTCTGCTGTTGTTGCCTTAGAACAAATTTCATCACCACACCATTTCTGTTAGACTGCCACCTGTTTGTGTTTTTGATGACACAAATCTGTTCAAACCCGCTAAAGCAGTGGAATTAAAACTAAGTTTGAATTGTGTTTCATTTAAATGAGGTTGACTAACAATGTATTTGTGTTTTAGATTTTTTTTTGCCCAGGGACCACTATTTGCTACTACAGTTCACTATTCTCCGTATATCATATATTAGAGTAATGTGAACAAACAGCTTTCACTTGACATTTAACAACAAGATTGATTGCTTACTCGCTACAACAAACTGAAAATGTCCTCTGCAGAGTGACAGCAGATGGAAGCCGAGGCATCAAATGAAGAGCAAACGGATATTAATGCGAACACGTCAGTAACGCACAGTTGGAGGTGGTTGCCGTTGGTTACCTGGCTCCTATGTAGAGCGTGCGGTTGACTTGGAGGACCGTCTGGATGAGCAGATCCTGCCTCTGAGCCGAACGATGAGCTCTGCCCAAGAACACCGGATACCTCCGCACAACTGACATGGACACACACACACACACAGTCGAATAGAGTGAAACGCTTACTAAAAGGAATCTGGAAATGAAGTGCATTGCTCAAGGATACTTTGATAACAGAGCGAGTCAATCTACATTTACCCTAAAGACTTCTCTAACCTTCACTTTAATTGTATCTTCGCACATTCTTGATGCCTTTCTTTAGGAAAACAAAGATGTGAAGAGATGATGGGTGCAGCACAAGTACACTAAAACACTTTTATCCTCGTTCTGTTTTGCTTTTGTTGATGCATGCAGCTCCATAATGACAAACACTGTGTGCAACCATTACTGTAATTTTATCATAAAAAAAAGAAATTACCTCCCTTTCCTCTCTACATTTCAGATAAGTGGGAGAGTACAGATGAGGCGGAGAGAGAAAGTGGCGGTATCAGAGTATGAGAAAGTTTCAAAGTGGAGGACGACGGTCTCCACAGGGAGCCCTCATCATCAGGAGACAGATTGGGAGAACGTCTCATTGTCCTTGACTGCAGGGGAGGGAGAAAGGAGGACGTTGCAATCCATCTCCACCTGTCTCCACCCCTTCTCTCTTCCCTCAGCCTTCTCTCTTGTCATCTGTATCACCCCCTCCGATCCAATTGTCTCACGCTTCTTCATCTTCCCGGGCCTCTCAAAATCCATAACAATCATTTCTCTTACTCCCTTTCTTTCTGTCTTTACATCTTTCTCTCTCGCTCATATTTATCAGTCTACCATACAGCCATTGAGAGGCCGAGTGAAGTATTTTTATGTATCTGTATGCCTGGGTCCACACACACAAGCTCTGACCCTTGACCCCGATTTCCACCTCCACCATGAGGCCATTCATCATCAAGTCACACACACACACACACACACACACACACACACACACACACACAGCAGGAAGGAAACGTACCCTCTACAGGGACATAGCTGAGAGGACTGGGTTCCTCTGGGAATGAGCCATCCGCCAGTTGAAGCAGCAGGAGAAGAAATGTGAGGGGTGGAGCCACGGTCGCCATGGCAGCAACACACATGCACTGAAGAGAGACGGGAGAGAAGAATATCATTGTTGTGCACAATACATGTTCCTCTGGGTGTGCATGTGCATGAGATTGTGACTGACATTATGACATAATCAACAGGTCTCTCTGTGGGTGTATATGTGTGTGTGTGTGTGTGTGTGTGTGTGTATGTGTGTGTGTGTGTGTGTGTGCAAGAAGAAAGGGTCAGAAGTGCAGCAGGGTGACTGCAGCCACCAGCCTGCCTTCAGCAGGGAGCTGATGTGTTTCTATTGTCTGCTCACTGGTGTAATAGGGCTCTATTGTCAGAACTGTCACTCCATTGTCAAACAGTTTGAATCGAATGGGATTCTCACAGTCATATAACACACCGAGAGACAAAACAGTCACAGGATTACAAAGCCACTTTGGGTGATAATGTTCCTTTCGTTGATTGTGTTTCTGTACGGACATATGGAGGATATATTATTGGCAACTTGCGACAAAAAAAGAATTGCTGGTCTTTAGAGGGAGTAAAAAAAGAAAAGATGAAGGGAGTGACTCGGGGAAGCTGGACAATGTCTTTCGAAAGGTCAAAAGTCAAGAATGCTCTAAATCACAAGCAAGGAAAAGAGGAGGAAAATAACTTTGGTCTTTAAAAGGTTAAGAGGCCACAAAAGGTCACACTGTGCAAGGTCCGCGCACACACACACACACACACACACACACACACACACACACACACACACACACACACACACATGTACAAAACAAGAGTCGACAGCCATGCTAGCTGTTGGGCAAGGCACCAGACCCCCAAACTGCTGTATAAGCTGTATAGTAGCTGCCACAGCTCCTAATATTAGAATGGGATAAATGCAGAGTATTAATATCTCTGTGTGCTGTGCTGTGCCGTGTACATGTGTGACAATATAAGTTGATTTGATTTTAGTTAAATGCTAACATAAGCGTTAAGCAGGTTTAATGTTAACCATGTTCACCATTTTAGTTAGCATGTTACAATTTGCTAATTAGCATTCAACACAAAGAAATGTTACAGCTGTGGCTTAAAGAAATTGCAATACTTTTGTTTATTAACCAAACTGCTGGAGAAATAGAAATATATAGAATATCTTGTGGTGGTGAAAAGTCAGGGGATCACTTAAGTCTGTATAATTCATCATCTGGGAACCATGAATATCTGTACAAGATGTAATGGCAATCCATCTAATATTGAGACATTTCAATCGAGACAAAAGCGGTGGACTGGCAACAGACCAAACTGACCAAAAACCATTGTAGAGGGGTCAAACTGTCAAAAACAAGCCCCCGTGCTGTACATCAACATATCATTCACCTATAAACCCAAGACAGTGAAATAACACTTCAGCACATAAGTTACAACCAGTTATAAATTGTAGCCGCCACGCCATCAAACACTTTGTAGATCTATAAGCTTTTCTATGCATTTATTAAAAATGCCTGTGGCTGAGCTGCACCGTCTTTGATGTGAGAATACTTTGACAAAGGAGAGGATATAAAAAGAGAAGGAAAGAAAAGACAAGACAAATGAGGAGAACAAAAAGGGCGGAGTACTAAGGTTCTTAAGAGTGCCGCTAAAATCCTCGACAATGTTTGATGAAAACACGAATGAAAAGAAAGGTTTGAAATTGAAGAAAAAGACGTGAGCAATGTGAATGTCATCAGCAAATTCAACCTGAATGCCGTGTTCCAAGTTTCCCCCAACCCCAGCTTATTTCCTTTCATCCTCCATCACTGTCCCTCCGTCCCCCACCTCCTCCCTTCATTTCTCTTCCTTTATACCTCTCAGCTTGTGTGTTCCAGAAAAAGAAAACCCTGTTTTCAAAGACAGAACACCAGGTAGAGAGGTAGGTGATGGGCTAGTTGCTAAGGCGATGACAACTGCTATTTGAAGCACACAGATGCACAGATGTAATAGGGATGCTTACATATAAATAAGCATATTCACATGTGTTGCCAGCACCTCAGACTGCGCATGCGTTTGAGTGACAAGCTGTTTGACGACAGCAGTGAGTCGATGTGGCTCTGCAGACTATACACATGGGGCCACTTCAAATAAAAATTCTAGCCCAGAGATTGCAGGTTTGACATGTCTGAGCCCTCTCCTCATCAGAAGCACTGGTACAGCCCTGAGGGGGGGAGCTTGTTTCATCTTAATCTCCATTGGGATTCCCTGAACTAGAGCTGATTGAGTCAGGTGCAGGGGGTCAGCCCCATTTCATTATGGCCATTTCATGAAATAAACCAAATGCTTATTGATGCTTAAAGCTGCAATAAAATTATGTTGTCTTGTATGGACTAAAAGGATGAATGGAATTAAATTAAGCGTGCGTTCCAGAGAGCTTAAGCATCATATGTTTGTGGTTTGCATCATAAAATCCCAGTGCCTCTTCTCAGAGTCATAACGCAGTCAAATCTGAACACACGCCGAGGTAAACATATTTTTAGATTCAGCGTGAGGTTGGATTCAGCGTTTCTGAGAGTATCATTATCTCCATCCGTCACATAATAAACGTCCATACATTTCATTAGATATTGTAGAAAAAAGATGCTCCTGATAACTCAGGACAAAATCATCACATCACATCACTGTCTATACATTAATGGGTACATTGCAGACAGGAACTGCTAATAAATGATTTGCCAGACATTTAATGGTGCAAATTTGCAGAAATGTAAAAAAATATAGACTGAGTAAATGCTGTGGCAGATGTAGTAAGACACAAATGTACATTACTAAGGCTGCAACCCACACACAATTACGTTCAAATACAACCAAACTGTCCCATCAACAACAAAGACTCTTCTCTATCCATTCATATACAGATACATACAGACAAAAAACTAACAAAAATGTGTTAATATATACATGCAGTGACTCTGCTGAAAGCCTGCATGTAAAGAGAGAAGCTGGGCATCCCTCTTTCCTTCCTCACTCTGTTCCTTTTTCTCTCACACACAAACACACGTGCAAACCGCCTTCACATGCTACATACCAACAGCCAGCGGCCTATCATTGATGTAGCCTCCTCATTAGAATGTGTATTGATTAAAGCTATCGATCTATAAGATAAACCCTCAGATCTGGGCCAAGGCCAGCATATTAGAACTTTGCTGCTGGACAGTGCCATGACGAAGGCAGTATTTTTAATGCTCTGGGCTATAAAAAGAGGTTTGGGGTAGCGCTTTGACGCATGGTTATCAAGGGTTCTGAGTTCTCCCTGCAGCGCCGAGAGACAGGACAGACAGATGAAAGATAAAAGACAGACGTGGTTTGAGTAACAGACATAAAAAGAGGAAGAGAGACACCGCCTGCGACAGACTTGCAGCTCATCAAGCTATTAAAAAAAAAAAACAGACTCCTGTTGACAGAATGAGTATCATGAAATCAAGGCAAGAGAGACAGGCGAGTGGAGAGAAGAAAGGGTGTTATGTATTTGTGTCAGATCTTGTTGGCGTGATAGGATTAAATGGTGTGACACTGACACGGTTATCATGGGACGCATGTAATGACGGCGACAGCCGCGCAGTGCAATCTACCCTCATCAGGCAATAACCCATTAGCAAATCACCTGCTAACACTCACATCATTAACCAATCAGCAGGTCATCTGAAGAAGCATAATCACCTGCTTTCGCCTGTTATCAGTTTGTCCATGTTTCGTCCTCATCAGCTGCGACTGAGCTCCTTTTGATGAAGTCTTTTTTCTCCAGTGTGCTCTTGTTCAGCTGCCACATGGCTGATCCGACGGGAAGGCTATAGGGGTCAAGCAGCATGCTGGGAAATTCTACACAGCCCCACATTATGTCAATAAACTACATGAAATATATCCATTCAATATTTATCCATGATTCCATCCTAAAATGCCTCAGTAGCCTTTAGTGCATATGGGACATGCTCATGTTTACACAAGGCATCTCAACTATTAAAGCTACTGAGCAAAATCAATACAGTCTCATCCTGCTAAACAGAGACCAAGTAAAAAGCAACATCCCTATCCGCACCGAGCAGCATTTACTGACCACGGGGAAGCATTGAGACATAAATACAAAAGGCCTCAGCGGTCCGTCTGAAGGCACAGATGCACAGCTAAAACCAAGCCCAGCGTTGGTGTTGTCGAAATGCTTGAGTCATGACTTGCTGCAACCAACTACAGTACAGCAATAAATTAATCATTTGATGTGTGTGTGTGTGTGATAGAAATTGGACAAGTAAAATCGAAGCACTTCTGTTCATTGGTGTTGACATTTTTCTAGTCTCTGTATCTGAACTATGTTTTTTTCTGCGTTAAATCTGTCATTGTTATTAGGTCTACAGGCAAAAAAATGTCTCTCTCCCTCTGTCTCTCTCTGTCTCTCCCTCTGTCTCTCCCTCTGTCTCTCTCTCTGTCTCTCTCTCTGTATGTCCCTCTGTCTCTCTCTCTCTCTCTCCCTCTGTCTCTCCCTCTCTCTCTCTCTCTCTCTCTCTGTATGTCCCTCTCTCTCTCCCTCTGTCTCTCTCTCTGTCTCTCCCTCTGTCTCTCCCTCTCTCTCTCTCTCTCTCTCTGTATGTCCCTCTGTCTCTCTCTCTCTCTCTCCCTCTGTCTCTCTCTCTCTCTCTCTCTCTCTTCCTCTGTGTCTTCCCCTCTGTCTCTCCCTCTGTCTCTGTCTCTCTCTCTCTCTGTCTCTCTCTCTCTCTCTCTCTCTCTCTGTCTCTGTCTCTCTCTCTCTCCCTCTGTCTCTCTCTCTCTCTCTCTCTCTTCCTCTGTGTCTCCCCCTTGTCTCTCCCTCTGTCTCTCGCTAGCTGCTGCAGCCACTCCACTCCGTGCCTTTGTTACCGTAGCAACCAATAGCAAAGCTAGGCAGAGATGTTGTATTGCAGTAGATGTGAACGCTGGGAGGGCGGGTTCGCCCTTTGAACACGTACGGGCGTATACATTTGTGTGAGAATGCACACACTGATGCATACGCTTGAGCTTTAAACCCAAATCCCAAATGTACATTCATAGGCGTGGCATG